TTGAACCACTCTTAAGTTGTCTATGTATGTATGTATGTATGTTGTGTGCATTAATGCTTTTGTGATATGCATTTACAAAGTAAGTTTGTGACTGTTCTGCTTGAATGCGTGTGTACGTGTAAACGTTTGTGCATGTATGTATGTTTGTATGTATATGTACGTATATACCTATTAAATTTAAACCTAAAAAATAAAACTATTGCAATGAATTAACTATTATAAGTCTGCCATAAATGCAGTGTTTCTAATTGCTAGATTCTTTATGTTTCACATTTTCCGTTTTTACTGAATCCACTGCCGTCTTATGCGACCGTGTATGCATAGCGTCTACTTAAAACTACACTTTGTCTGCAACTTATGCAATTACGCAATAGTTCGCAAGCCAATCGCTTGTGTCGTATTAGATTTCTTTGACACGCTGCATCTACGATTTAGCAATTTCGTAAAGAAAAATAATACAAACTCCAAAATTATCAGTCGTCCTTTTTTCTGTATATCCACGCCTAATCACTATGTTCTATTTAAATATTTTATGCAATATCTTAAAGAATTCATTTGTTTATGTGCTGAATCGCCGAATTGANTTTAATGCTTTTGTGATATGCATTTACGAAGTAAGTTTGTGACTGTTCTGCTTGAATGCGTGTGTACGTGTGTACGTTTGTGCATGTATGTATGTTTTTATGTATATGTACGTATATACCTATTAAATTTAAACCTAAAAAATAAAACTATTGCAATGAATTAACTATTATAAGTCTGCCATAAATGCAGTGTTTCTAATTGCTAGATTCTTTATGTTTCACATTTTCCGTTTTTACTGAATCCACTGCCGTCTTATGCGACCGTGTATGCATAGCGTCTACTTAAAACTACACTTTGTCTGCAACTTATGCAATTACGCAATAGTTCGCAAGCCAATCGCTTGTGTCGTATTAGATTTCTTTGACACGCTGCATCTACGATTTAGCAATTTCGTAAAGAAAAATAATACAAACTCCAAAATTATCAGTCGTCCTTTTTTCTGTATATCCACGCCTAATCACTATGTTCTATTTAAATATTTTATGCAATATCTTAAAGAATTCATTTGTTTATGTGCTGAATCGCCGAATTGAACATCTTTTTTTATCGCATAGCTTAAAACTAGTATTTTAGACTATTTTGACGCAACGTCCAGCTGGCATCCGATTGCGCGTTAGCTTTCTCACGTTCTTTGCTTTATGTATGCGTTGTTGTTTTTTTGTTTTGTCTACCCTTGATAATAATAATGCACCTATGTACTATTAAATATGTAATTACTTTAATCAATATTATCCATATCGTTTATATTGCCCACGAGTTTCACTTTTCGGCACCATGTGAGTTTAATCTGCACGCACCTCCGTTATAACTTCATTTAAATAAGTATGTATCTTGTTTTCGTTATTCTTGTTAATGGCGTCTTCGTAAGTTTGTTTTTCTTATTGCTTCATACATTTCTTACTTCTCACAATAATTCTTACTCCACTTCTGGCAAGAATTCGCATATTTGTCACACCTTACCCCCAAACCAACCAATTAATATTTTTAAAAATTTTGCTAAGTCACTTCAAGGTGGTTTATCGTTTCTGCGCTTCGTTTAGTCGTTATTTTGTGTGCAATTGTTATCTCATTTCTCATATGTCTTTAAAATTGACGTCCGTGTCGTCCTGCGAAACCGCTGTCATATAATTTGCACAACGATTCAGATCGCGCATTCGGCACGCTAGTCACAATTCCTGAGCCATTTACCGAGCTACCTGTGTGCGAACCATAACTGGAGCCGTTGCTGAGAATATCGTTGCTGTAGGGTTGCTGTTTTCGGCGCCGTTGGTGCAAGTAAGTCCAGATGGCTATGACGGCGAGTTGTGCGAGCAGGAAGACTGTGACAGCCACAATAAGACCTGTTACAAAAGAAATTATGGAAAATTAAATTTTTTATGAGAAATAAAGTAAACAAACGTGTTCTGTGTTCGGAACGTCGTTGGTGTTTTACGGTCTTGGGGTGTAATAGATAATCACTCATGTCTTAAACGCGATTCGTCCAAGTACCAAATAAAAATGTTACCTTCGTGAGATAGAAAGTTTGTCAAAGTGTAGGTAAGTGAACAAGAAGATATTTAATATANGACAAACAAATAAAGGAAAATTAAATTTTTATGAGAAATAAAGTAATCAGAGGTGTTATGTGTTCGGAACGTCGTTGGTGTTTTACGGTCTTGGGGTGTAATAGATAATCACTCATGTCTTAAACGCGATTCGTCCAAGTACCAAATAAAAATGTTACCTTCGTGAGATAGAAAGTTTGTCAAAGTGTAGGTAAGTGAACAAGAAGATATTTAATATACACTCGTTTATGCAAATATGTATGTGTGTCTGTACATGTAATACCTAGGAAAGATAAGGCTGAGTTGGCTTCTTGTAGACCCATTCAGATACCACGTTTTTTATCCTCGCTATATCGCCCAGGTTCCTAAAGAGCATAGCTTAAAATAGCGAGACTTTTAAATACTAATCGAATGGACAGACTACAGCGTTGATCCGGATCAACTCGTTAATTCGGAATTATCTCGGGAATTANTTGTAAATGTAATACCTAGGAAAGATAAGGCTGAGTTGGCTTCTTGTAGACCCATTCAGATACCACGTGTTTTTATCCTCGCTATATCGCCCAGGTTCCTAAAGAGCATAGCTTAAAATAGCGAGACTTTTAAATACTAATCGAATGGACAGACTGCAGCGTTGATCCGGATCAACTCGTTAATTCGGAATTATCTCGGGAATTAATAAAAGCATTGACCGAAAGCGTAGAATACAGAGAATATGCAAAATTAGTATGGAAACCTACCTTGTCATCGTTAATACAATCACCATACTAATTCAGATAGTAATAAGTGCGGGATCGAGATTGAGTATTTATTTACTCTCGTGCCCAACTCTAATAGGAATCAAATTTAAATTGAATAAGAACTTATTTGAATTAGTATGGTAACTGTATTACCGATGATAAGGTAATATTAGATGCCCATGCTAATTTTTTCTGTATTCGACGCTCTCTGGTACGTACTACAATTCCGTAGGACCCAAGTTCCATTGCTAAATTTTTTAATTTTTTTATTTTATTAAATTTTATTTATGTATTTCATTTTGCTTTTTTATTATACTTCGTCTTGTTTTGTTTTCACATTATTAATTNCTGTATTCGACGCTCTCTGGTACGTACTACAATTCCGTACGACCCAAGTTCGATTGCTAAATTTTTTAATTTTTTTATTTTATTAAATTTTATTTATGTATTTCGTTTTGCTTTTTTATTATACTTCGTCTTGTTTTGTTTTCACATTATTAATTTTATTACATATTAGTTAATCTAAATTTTTTACAGTCTAATTTGATTAAATGTGTCAAAAACAACTAACTAAACCCAACATTAACAACTTCTGCATTTTTATATTTAATTATAATTGAATGAATAAAAAAATTAAATGAATATTATACTGGCTGGCAATAGATGTCAAGATATATCTATGTAAGCTTTTATATATATTTCTCTTGAGAAGCAATGAGCGGTCTCCATTGGCAATTTATATTCTGATATTCAAGACATAAACTTTATCATGTGCAGACTGGCAGTTATTGCAATTATTATATGTTATGGTAATATGTTTCTTTCTTTATCAAATATGGTAATTTGTTTTTCAATTTGGTAACTTTTTCGATTCGGCCCTACATTTTTGTTCAGTAGAAAAGATGCTCCCCTCAAATAGCTCAATACAGGCTTATTCTGATTCCATATTATGAAGTGGTTCGTAATAGTATTCATACAGAAGGACATTTAATTTCCGATCCCTAATAAACAGTTTAAAAGTGCCTACTGGTATCCTAGCAATATGTTTGGTAATTTTTGTAAAATTTGGTACCTTTTTCTGGTAACAACTGTTAGGTGCATTCTAAATTGATTCCCTAAAAAGTGGAAAGAATTTTTAACCGACTTAAAAGAAGGAGGAGGTTATCAATTCATCCATACTAATCTGGTTTAGATCCGTTCATTGGATCATGAAAAAATTAACGGTACTTCTAAATTTTTATATGAAATTTGAAGTCGGTTTTATTTTTTGCTTAAAAATTGCTTGTTTGCCCAAAATTTCCACACCATTCGGTTTTTCGGTCTAACCAATAAGCTAATTTTATCATACACCGATGCGGTTAATGTCCGTTAATTTTGTTATCCGGATATCCGGCTAATATCCGTTCATTTGGTTATTCGGATATTCTAAACAGTATTTGAACGGATTCGTAAAATTGTTCTCAAAATTTTATCATACACCGAAGCGTAGGGCTGGAACTATCCGTACATTCGGATATTCGTGTATATGGATAAAATTTAGTTAATATCCGTTAATTTTATCCGAACATCCAGTTAATGTCCGTTAATTTTGTTATCCGGATATCCGGCTAATATCCGTTCATTTGGTTGTTCGGATATTCTTAACGGATACGTAAAATTGTTCTCAAAATTACTGAATCTATCGAGCTGCATAATAAGTAATATCCGCATATCTATACATTATTCGGATATTCAGAGTTTTTGTGATTATATTCGAATATCCCTAGTTCACGCCTTTTTTACGTGTCTTTGTACCCTTACATATTTCAATCGCTTGTCTCATTCAACACCTGCCTAAAAAAATCGTCAGTAGTGGCGCCAACAACAGCGCCAGCGATAACCAATACTTTCCCATCGCTAGGCTTATCACATATCTGTTAATGCAGAAGCATTTTTCCCACAAAACCACACTTATTCTGTTACCTTTCGACCATCGAGCGCTAATCTGTGAAAACAGACACTTGAGCTCTCACCCATTATCGCGTCGGCGCTATCTGTTGCCAACAATGTTGTATGTTTGCTGTCCACATTAACAATCGCCGCTGGAACAATACCTCTCCTGGAAAATGTGCATACGTGTGTGTGTGTAGTGTGTGTCATAGACGGTGGCTTTAAGAGATATCACAAGCAATTACGTCAGTGCTTAACGCCTGATTGCGCGCAGCGACTATTCTGTGGATAGACTGGACAGACACACAACTGCAATCTAACAGTCTAGTCACTACATACATACTAACTACCTACCTACCTAAAGTTAGCTACTATTGTCTCGATTGATCATGTCCAGCAATAGTTTATAAATGTACCTTCATACTCAAGATTAAAACACTTTTGTTGGGTTTGGTGTTGTTGCGATCGTCTTGATTGTCTCGATCGTCTGCCCTACCGCCATCATCGGTTGCGCTTGTCGTCTGCACGTCTGCACTGTACTACTGGCTTAGAATTTTGTAGGTAGTATTCGTCAGCAGAGTTGTAAGTATGTACCTGATACTACTGTCTGTCCGGCGTACTTACCGATCGCATTAACACAGTATCCTTGGCCAGCTTCACCGCTAATGAAAATCGTCTCATTGCTATCGTACGCCGTGGACTTGGGCTGTTGCTGTTGCTGCTTATCGAAGCCAAATTTGTCAGTGATCTGAATTGATTGTACCAAAAGCATATCCTCTTGACTAGGTTTGCCGTTCGTCGAAGCGGCTGTCTCACGTCTGGTGCGCCGGCGCAATTGCTGTTGTCTGGTGCGGTGTTGTTTTTCCATCAGCTTTTGTTGCTGCTGTTCATAGCTATTCTGCACAGTGCCAGCAAATGTAGCTGCAAGTTGGCGGTATAGCAAGCAGTATACAGCGAAGATAAATAATGAAAAGAGAACGAAAAAGAATAAATATTTATGTAAGGAAAAATAATCAAAGAAACGGATATAATTTTTTGTTGTTTGTTACTATTTTTTTTGTTGTAATCTTTGCCTGTTTTATTTATTTCATGCATTTGCTATTATTTTGCTATTGATTTCTTACAGTTGCGGTTTGCTGTAACAACAGGTGATAGGATTAACGTACATGTCGTACGGAATGAAGCGATAAAAAAATAAAATGCCATCATTAAGATGAGTCCTACTCGTACAATATAGAATCGCCTTTCGTGGCCCTCGCACACTTATAAATTAACCGCTGTTTATAGTTTTCGCTGTATTGCCAGTTGCTTCTTTCTAGTTACTTAGTTATGAATTACTTTATGGCGAAAGGTAAAATTTATCAAACTCGTTGAATTAAGTACTGTAGAGAAAGGTTCTGTTCTTTACGCAGTAGTAGCCCTGATGTTAGCTAAAGCTGTCTGTGTGAATATGCATGAACAAATTACACTATGAGATAGCCTTTGATCTAAACTACTTTTTAAATTGTAATTTCAAAAATTATTGGCAATAATATTTTCTAAATAAAAAAACTCGATCTTTAACTTCGTGCTTCGGATTATAACTAGTTTTGTAAGGGAAAACTTTACGTTTGAGGAGTTTGGAAACTTTTGAAATTGTTTAATTTGGCTGCCTTTGCGTTGGCTTCCATTTTAATTAAATGTCAGCTTAGGCATAGATGGGCAGTTTGGGCAGAATGTGTTTTTCAAAGACCAAGAATCACCTGTACTTAGCCCCTTATAGCCAAATAATTACACAATACATACATATGTAACGCCACGTACCCCGATTATGATTACCAACATAGCAACACCAGGCCTGGGTTTTCCCATTGGGTTGTACACGGGCCACATGAGTTTTTTTTTATATTCAGCAGCTAGCCGCCGCTTTTGGTTCGATTTGTGAAGATTGGGGAGAAAGACTACTTTATAGTACATACTTATATGGTCCGAATTGGGGGTAAGATCCGCACGTGGGATGAGTCCTATGTGGAACCCTCTCTGGCTATCTCGGATGCAGCCTTGTTTCAGGGAATGTTGCAATGAACAGGAACCCAAACTAAATCCAGATCGACCTGGCTACTTACTCTACTTAAAAGAGTCCTATAGCCCAAGCCAAGGCCGCTTGTCTATCCGATAAAATTGGCTATACGCTTACCGTGACGTAAACCACTACGTTCTAAAAACAAAACAGCCTTCAGCTATAGTTAATCTTTCTGCCTGGAAGACACTTGCAAAACCGGGCAGATGGATTGATGGGATTCTTAATCCCAGAAAATTGGAGACAACGCCTGCTCCCACTCTGCGTTCCATTTTGGAGCCAGGCAAAGTTATCAAGTTCCTCGTCGCATGTAGATTCAATTTTGGAGTGAGCGTTAAAAAATCGATAATTTGTAAGTCCGCCTTCAGAGCTGGAATTAAAACATGACTCAGCCTCAGATAAATCAACATTTTAGAGGAGCAGAAAAACCTGCGCACTCACAACCTTTAGTTAGGTCATATTAGATGTCTTTAAGCCTAAACTTCGGACAAATTTGCAGCAGCTTGGACTTATTTAGCTAGGTGTAGTGATTGGATCACAGTCCCTTTTTCACCTTTCTCGCTCTGATATGACCTGTGACCCCTTATTAAAACTAGCGCAAGGAACGACTTATTTATTCTGATTTTTCAATTAGCTGTCGTAAATTTCTGGATAAAAATGTCTGTTGTTACCTTTAGTCTAAAATTTTGATTGGCCTCATAATTGATCCAAGCTCATTGGAGTACAAACTTCACTAAATGCATTTCGCAGCTCCTTAAGACTTTTAGCGCGAAAAATAAAAGCTTAACTACGTAGGCACCTAGAGCTGACCTAAGAGTCATAAGTGGTCTATAAATAGATCCTAGCATTTATAACATACAAAAGAAAATGTCGTGAAGTTATTTTTTTTCGCCAAGTTGACTAAACCTAAGTTTCTTCGGTTAAAAAGTCTGCGGTTGACATAGTTTTCAGATAGTATTTATATAAGTTTTTCAAAACATTATTTTCCTACAGCCTAAGTGAGGTGAGGGCAATGTGCTCTTCACTCCTAGTCGATATGTTTAGCTTCTCCTTTTAGAAAATAATTCGTTTACATTCTTCCTACTTATTCCTTTACACTTGTTGGATCTATCATATTATCGGCACACGAATTGCCGGATTCGCTCTATTCCTAATTCGCTTGCTTTATTTTCTTTAAATTTAAATTCTTTTCGATGACCTCCTATCAACATTAACTTTATTACACTCACCTGTTGCATTAATTGAACGCCTCCTGCGTCCGTATGATATCAATGACTTGAATTCACCGCCGATGTCCTCCTGATCACATTGCACCGGTTCGCATGTGGGCATACAGGGCGTGACGAGCGCACGGAATTGCACCACTTCGGATGAGGGGAATTTGAATGCATCAAAGTGTGAGAGCAAAATTTTACCAGATAAGGAACTCTTGTAGATCGGTCCCATAATGAAGTGATCGGTAGGACAGCCATTCGAATCGATGAGCGTAATTTCTGCATTATCACTACCATCCATAGCAACCAATTCGCGTACAAAGATCTCGTAGGGACTGTGTTCATCGAGAATTTCGAATTTCAGCGCCAACGGATCACCAACCTCAGCTGAGCGCATCACATCGGAGCCATCGCGCGAAGTAATCTTCATAATCACATTCGGTGAATCGACTATAACCTCTTCGCTAAGCGCTGGTTCGATATCGCCCTTAACACCCAAATCAACTTCATTCGAAACCGATTTGTTAGTCAAGTCATATTGACAAGTAACAGCCAAACCCAAATCAGACGAAGTAACAATGGTATCGTGATGCTGTATCACTACATCGTTCATGTAACGTCCAGAGCCGCTTTGGCGTACATTACATTCGAGATCCTGGTAACGCATACGCAATTCGAAGTCGAGTGCATTCTTAACATCAACAGCGCACGATTTGGGCGAACCTTTAGCGTAGACTTTGCCGTCGAAAAGTTTCGATGTGCGTATGCGTGCAATCATGTCGCCAGCGCCGCATTCGATGGTCACATTGTAGCAGGATGACAGTTCATAAGTGGCTGCTTCCGGCACTTCTAGGTAAGGATC